AAACCAGGCACACCGTGTGTCAGTCTGGGGTTATCCTGGGAGGACTTCTGGAGTGACACAACTCCTCCCTCTTCCCACAAGGGAAAGGCAGCAACCTGAGATGCTCAGGGTGCAGTGCACCAGAAGGTCACAGCCAGGACAGTCCTGCCAGCCCCACCTGCCGGAGGGTTGCTCCCTGTTCTGCTTGCCAGGAACCTGCCTTCATTTCCCTGCACAGCTGGAAACTGTTCAGGGCTGGATGGAATTAGCACATGGGCACAGAGCTACCGTATGTTCAGGTTTCCCTAGACTCAACCTGTCTTTCTGCCTGGAAATTGAATGCAGATGGGATTTGCAGTCTCTGGGGCATCTGTTTTGGGTCCCTGGACAAATGACCGCTGTGCATGAGGGGACCAGCGCACGCACAGTTATCTGGGAAATCCCAGACAAAAGTACGGGAATCGGGCATGTTGAACCACACTGCTTTATCCTTCTTGAGAAGAGGGAGAGCAATAAACAGCAGAGAGATGCTGGAAAAGCCTTGTAAAAGTAACACAGCCTCAGGAGACCTTTTTCTACCACTCAAGCCTCACCTTCAGACACTGGTGATGCGTGTGGGCATTACTTGAATCCTGGCACAACAAAATGCAGCAATTACTGATAATTTTAGCCTCAACATGTGCAGTAATGCAGTGTGCTAGCTCTAGGTTTCTAATCCATGCCTCAGCTCACAGGAGCAGTAGAATGGTCTGAGTCAGCCAAGGGGCAGAAAAACATCACTTTCAGCAACGCTGTGTGATCGAGGGGACCCTTGAGGGGTGGAAAAGGTCAAGAATTCCCCTATCCCAACCCTGGCTCTCACTGCAACTGTGACAAATTAACTCCTCTGTCCTCATCTGTAAAGAGGAGATACTACTCACCTACCTCACAGGAGAGCAAAGAGCTAATTGCCAGGGAAAATTAAAGACTTGTCCCCAGAACTTATTACATTAAGAAATTAAATACCGAATGAAGCAAGACTGCACAAGTGTCACTGATCTTTGATATCGGAGCTTCCAGCCCACTAAGGTCTTAGCAGCAGCAGTGTTTAGCCTGACATCTAAATGGTCCTCATTGGTAAGAGCTCACCGTATCCAACAAGAGTGCATCTGCACAGTTTGGGAGACCAGGAGCCTTGCCTTTTTGTCTGTCTGAGCAGCACCTACCAAGCTGATGGGTCCTAGGGAATAAATAATGCGCCACTGTAAAGTACATTTGTATTCATACACGCCTCATTTTTCCAAGCAGTAATCAAGAGTATTATGTTACCTATGGTCAAAATGATTAGTCATGTTTCCAAAGATTAATTTACATGTTCTTTTGTTTAATGCGCACGGACTGATTTAATGGCTGCTTATGAACTGAGCTAACAGTCATTTTGAGAAACAGATGTCCGATGCAGTTTTAAGCATTAAGAGTGCTTTTATTCATATCCTTAGGAGAAAAAGGGCTACACAGTCTACAGTAATAACACTAATGAATCAAAGTACTACAGCTGCCCAACAGGGTTTTGACAGAAAACAGCTTTTTCTCAAAGGAACTTTTTTTTTTTTAGGACTCTGGGACAGTGAACAACTGGTAATATGCATGCTTAACATGTAAGTATGTGCTTTGCTGGAGCCAGAACACTGAATCAAGCCCTATCTGCAACCACACAATGTGAGGCTTTTGCATAAGCACTGAAAACTGTAACTACACAAAGACAGAGAAATCTGTATGGAAACTGGATCCTCCACATTTTATACAAATAAATATTTGAAAATTTGAGTGTTTCTGATACTGTTTTGTGATGCTGAACGCAGAACAGGTTGTCTGCTTTAAACCTTGATAGATTATTGTGTGTGGGTGGTAGGGTTAGGATAAAAGAAAGGGAAGAAAGCTACTAGGAAAGCAGTTGGTGGCTGCAAATCTATGATAAATAAACAGCACATTCCTCTTCTACACGAAGCCATTAGAGTCTGTGTCAGACTTCAACATCCTAATGTTAGCTGGGTGCAAATTTGACAGCCTGGGGTTCTGCAGTGCTCCCTATGGAAAGTAGATTTGGAACAATTTGCCATGCCCCAACAGAGCGTTTCTGTCAAGTTCCCGAGAAGCCTCTAATGCACCAGTTATTCACAGGACCCTTGCAACGAACCACGGGTTTGATATTTTATGGTCTGGTGTGTACATTGCAGGGTATGATTACACACAAGCCTGCTTCCCATCAGCCAGCACCTTGTAATCATTAACATATTTATCCTTGTGGTGCCTCAAGAAGATGACATTGTTATTAGTCCCATTTTACAGATTCAGAATTGAAGCTCAATAGCTAAACGACTTGCCTTTGATTACACAAGATTTACATTGAAGGACAGAACTGAGTTCCAGCCCTACCAGGCCCAAGCAAGGATTGCACCAGAAGCACTAGATCTATGTGCAGAGCTGTCTTTCATCTCAGGTGCTTGTAAGTCTTATGAAATTACTATATCCACACTGGGTTTTGTGCCTTTTGTGTCTCAGCCTTTGCCACTGCAGGCACCTGTAGGGAACATGGATGTAGATAATATTACGACATGCAAAAGCTGAGCTCCTAAGTTACATCCCTCTGCAGCAGCTGGAGACGAGTCTCCAGATCATGCTCATGTACTTAATAGCATGTTGAGCAACTTTGCTCAAATGCATAAGACATGCTGACACAGTGTATTAAGAAAGGCTGAGACCTAATACGAGCTTCCTCTTCTGCTTCATTTATACCACACTGTGCTGGAAAATATGTTGACTGATAAGTTTCAGCCACAGTATGGGTAATCATCAGGTCTGATTTAAATACCAGTTAGAGTTGTAAGTAAACACTGCTTTCCAGCACAAACCACCCCTCTCAGTACGGTCAACGCATTGAACAAGTCCCATCGTATCTGCTACATGAATGGGAGAAGAGAAGCCACTGCACAAGTAGAAAAAGACCTTTTCCAAACTCCTAAGTACTCAGTAAGACAGAGGAAGAAAATATTAGGACATGCTCCTGTTTTAAGTTGAGGAGATCTCCTCTATCCCTCCGATACTAACTGTCACCAGAGTAACCGCTGGCAAGACACACAGCTGATAACTCTCTTAACTGAATTGCTATTATGGAGAAACAGGCTAGCTATCAGTTTCCACAGTGGTAACCATAGACCTCAGAGAAACATATTGATCTTCCAGGAGGCAAACACTGGGAACCAGCCATTCCTACCACTCAGGCTTCAGGTAGGGTGGGTGCACAGCTGCTACAGCTAAGAGATTTGCAGCAAAGAGCACTGTCATGGCTGTGAGGCTCTGAATTTGACCTGCCTTCCCCTCTATCTCAGAACAGTTAAAAACCCAGGTAAATATTTGTGTGCTTCATCTTAGACCTCTGCTAACCTTTCACCACTCTGTCTTGAGCGTATCTCTGTTTATCTTCCCCTGAATAACGTAAAGCTTTCTTATCTAAGCAACAACTGCCTCCCAGCATTAAGGCTTACCCATCAGCTGCCTCCCTGACCTGATGCGCACCCCAAATGTTTCTGCTCTTCCCCAACCACTGCGAACTCAGAGCTTTTACTGAGCACGCAGATTCATGCAGGAGCCCAGCATCTGTGAGAAATCCTGCTCAATACTTTTGAGCCTTCCAACGCTGGGTGTGATTTGTGCAAATCAGATGGTATTTTTTCAGTGGGGCCAATAGGACCAACCAATGGCTGAATGGGACCAACATTCAGGAGGGAAGTACTACTCAAAATCTGAGTCAGGTCAGAATCTGGCACCATATAATTACTCTATAGCAGAAGTAAGATTATTCCTAAAGCAATAATAAAGCCACTTGAGATTTTATTTTTTAATAAGCACCAATATGTCATATTACTTATTAGTACACAGCATCAGCAATTGACATACTTCTTCCCCCAAAGGACTGGGCGACTCAGAAACACTCATACGTAAGGCAAATCAGAAGTCACCCACAGAACAGAACAAGAAAGGACATCAGGGTCCTAACCAAGTATGAGGAATATTTTTGCCATGAAATGCTTGAATCAAGAAAGAAACAGGAATTGGAACAGAGCAGGATGCTGTCCCTGCCTACAGGAAAGAGCTGATTTCATGATGATCTTTACTCTTGGAACAAGAAAGCACAAATGTTCATCAGAGACTAGGAAACCAAAGGAAATACCAAGATGAAAGAGTGCAGCAAAGATGCATGCCTTTCTGTATCATTTAGACGAAAACATTAAAATTGATGGGAAGACATTTAACTAGCAACTGAAATAAGCCTAAGAGGGGAGGGGGAGAAATCCAAAAAGACAGAGGTGCAGATATTGCAGACGGCTTGAAACCGCAGGTGATTTCCCATAGATTCACTGAAGTAAAAAGTTACAAATGAGGAGGTATCTACAGGCCCACCTAGTCCCACTTAAATCACCTGTTAGTCTGCAGATTATTAGAGACCAGGGTGGTATTGGCATGTAATTACTGCCAGTACCTGCCTGCTAAAGCAAGGAAAGATCAAAGTCACATAAAAAAAAACCAAAACAAAAGCCCAAACCCTCAAAATTTTAACCAAAATGTTTGTAATTATGAGCTTGAAAACAAAATGCTCAGGCAAAAATATCAGCATTCATCTATGCCACCTAGCTCTTTGGATACCATAGCACTGTTCACCACAGTACATTTTATAGGGCTCAGTCCAGTATGATTTCAAACACTACACCATGAACAGCAGGTTCTACAGAACACAGTCAGAGCCACTCCGCATTTAGCAAGGTTTGTCCAAAACCTCTCTCAAAATCTGCCCTCCTGAGTACTAGCCCATTAAGCCAACCTGAACAACTCTTCTCTCTCTGTTCTTGTGCTTTCCAAGTACTTGCTGCTAGCCCTCCTCTCCCCTTGCCAAGCCTTTTGCCACGCAGCTTTCACTTTGTCTTCCAGGCTGAGCTCTTTAGCCTCCCTCCTCCCACCATCTGAGTGTGCAGGGTGAAACTTACGGTGCTCGGTCATGGTTCAACCCGTTCTGTCTTTGTGTATTTATCGGAGGTAGAACAGGTTTGCTGTTAATCTCAAGCCCTCTCCGCAAAGTCTCCCTGATTTGCTCTGTATCTGCAAAGAGAATTTTTTTTAACATGATTTAGAGTCCCCAGAAACATCACAGACACAAGGAGATGTCAGGTGTGGGTTTTCTTTTTTTAAAAAGGCCTGTTTCTATGGTGTGTTTCATCTAAACTCTTCCCCGTCAGAAAGAAATTAAGAGATGCTAAGGGTGAATTCTTAACAGCTTTTCCTGCACCTCAGGAGTTATTTCGCTTTATAAAGTCAACTCGAATTCTCTTGGTTTGGGCTGCGATGTTATGTCAGGCAAGGAGAGCTGGAACCTTTGGTACTGAGCCCTCATGATGAGGAAATTCTGAGTAGTTTTGCATCCTTTCATAAATGAGGTGTTTGGTGTTTCTGCAGCACTCTCAGAACCTCCTGACACTTCCAGACTTTGCGCTGGAAATCACTTTTCCCATTAGGCGTAATAGGAATTTGCTCCTTTACCAAACAAGTGCAAGGAGGTTCCCGAGTTTTTGCAATTGACTTTGCAAATCTGTTGATTAATTTACAACAAGATTCACAAAAAAAAGGAATTTTATGCAGGGCAAACCTTAGCCTCAAGCTCACATTTGAAAATAAACTGCAAATTATGCAGTTCAGATGCAGTCTTTTTAAATTTTCCTATAACGTCTAATGGCCAAATACTTTAATAGGATGCTTTCCAACCTTTCTTAGAAGTTTCCTCATCTTTTTTTGAGAAATGTGGGGACTGGGTAGAGAAAAAATACCCAAATTATTTCAAAATCTTTTGAAGTATATGCAAATATCACCATGTGTACCTGTCTTGGGCTTTTCATTTGCAGCGCTGAGGGAAAATAGCCTTTTTAGATCCAGTACAGTTCAAAATATTTGCACAGAAGCCAGAAGAAACCCTATATGCATTTAAATATTTTTTCTGCCATGGACTTAAAAACAAGTAAGATACCATTCCTCTGGAAACCATCATTAATTCCAGGAAATCTCAAGCCCTCAAATTTTATGTCGCTTCACCCATTTGAAAGATAACATGCATAATTTCAAGCATGTGTAATGGCTATGACATCAGTTACTGTGAGATGGCATCTCACTACAAAGGGGAATTCCATAGTATTTTATTTCTTCTTTCCAGAGTTCTGTATTTGCAAGAATCACTTGAGTTCAGCTACAGCAACGTGCAGTGTCAGTCCAACTTGCCACCCAAGAAGTGACAACGTTAATAGGGAAACACAGCCTGGGAAAATGCAGTTGCTTCACCTTGCAGGTGTTTACAGTCCTGGTTTCACCCAGTGCTCAGTTTAACTTTGCAGATTTAGATCAGAAATAGCCTAAAAACTGAAAGAAGCATTTAGACAAAACAATGCAAAGATCTCTTTTCCTCTCTTCTGCCTTCCTCAAGGAGGCCACACCAAAATTCATTTTGCTCCCCTGAGACATAGTAAGCCTTCCAGTAACTGTGGTGTTTGTTATGAACCGTGATGCTGCATGACTCAGCCCACTGCCCAGACCCATCAGAAAACAAGCCGAAAGGCCATGACAGTGACTCAGCCCAGGACCTCTTACCTTTCCCAGAGAGCCGCCGTGGCTGGGTCCCAATGCAAATGCTCCTGCTGTCTTCATCATCCTCCGGGGGCCGGCTGAGATCATCCCAGGCACATTTGGCACTCACTCCACTCAGGTTTGAGCCATCTGTCTCAATCCCTTTGTCAACTCTCTCCTGCTTGAAAAGATCCAAAACCCCAAGACTTTTTTGGGTGTGGCTTGAACCTGAGCTGGAACCCACCCTGGCTCAACCCAACCTTCAGCAAGTCCTGTATATCCCCCGCTTCATGGCCAGTTCCCACTCTCCGGCCCCCATGCTTTGATGTATCAGCTAAGGGTGACTGCCCATTGAGACAAATCAGGGAGCTGGTCTGAACTGGAACAAACCTTTTCCATAGCAGGTTGGTTTGAACTCCTACCCCTTCCCCACTGCTTTACCAGGCGGCCCCGGTAGGCACAAAGAAGGAAAAGATGGAGGAGGAAATCAGCAGCCCAGGGCATGTAGAATTGCTTCTTTCAGTGCTAGCTCCATTTTACAGCAACTCAAAGTATTTATGACATGACAGTGTACACACCTGTATGAAGCACAGCTTGGCAGTCTACCTATTACATGTCAATGATGATAAATCCCTGAATAACTAAAGTTAAGATCCCTTTCCAAACTTACCAAGGAGTTCCACAACAATACCAGCTCATGAAGAGACTCATCATTCACAACAGCTCATAATTTTGAAACTGCCTGGACAACCACTGTTTTTCAGTGTGCTGGGGTGTTCAGTAAAGGACAAACGTGCAAGGAGACACAGGTCTGTGCGCACTGTCAAAGCTTTTGCAAAATACACAAACTCCCTCCCTTGCAAGTTGGACTTTCCAAGCACGTAACCACCGTTTGGGTCTAGGAAGATGGTGCACACCAACCACAAGCAGCTGGATACTCTCAGACTCCATGCATTTTCTGAAGGACATGTGCATCTGTTGCCAGCAAGACTGCTCTAAGCTACAGCCAAAACTTCTACAGGACACTTACCTGCTAGGGGAACTGGCATTAGTCTGAATTTCCACCTCTGTCCCACAAGGGGGTAATGTTGAGCTGAACAAACTCAGGGCTGAGATACACCGAGGAAGGGCTGCTCTTACTGGTCACCTCTCCCCTGGCATGGAAACAACCGGGCTGTTTTCCCCTCTTCTGAAGGGGAAGAAGGGGTGTCACTTCTGGTGCCGCTCAGTGGCACTAGCAAGATCTCCATCTCACTGCTTACATTTGCGTCACCTCAGAATAGGCGATAAGTCCCACCACTTGTGGGACAGAAACTTTGACGTTTTGAGGAAAGAGAACCGTTACGCACAACAGCAGCAGATCTCTCCACTCATTATTACTACCCTCCAGTTTGACCTTGCCACTGGAGTCAAGAAACCATGGCAGCATCCAGTGCTTGGCAAAATCTGTTCCCTAAGAAGCAATTTCCAGACTAAAACCCATGAGAACTTATGAGTTCCTCCCCTTGCCCAGCTGCACATGCTGCGCTCTGGAAAGAGCATTGCCTGTTCTTGTGACCATTCGAAAGGGGATTTGAGCAGCTCAAAGATAAGCACAAGCACTCAGGGTGTGGTTGCACAGCAGTTTAAGCTGATGTAATTTGCAGTGGCTGCAGTCCCACCCTCCTCCATGTGCTCCTACCCCTTCACTTGAGCCAACTCTTTTTTTTTTCAGCTGGATCACCTCCCTAAGCTGGCTCTTTGGCCCAAGAGCAGAGGCAGAACCCTGTGGCTGGGGGCAGGACCAGAGCAGTCCCGACTTAGATTTAAGCATTCAAGAGACTGCCTTCCTTCTGCCTCTCTCCCTAAAAGAATATTCCTTGTTGGGATCTTCTTCCGGCATCAGGGGAAACTGGCTTCTATGAAAACGTAATGGGAAAATCTGAGAAATAAATCTGCTGGGACTTTCTTTTGTTATATCCTAAACATAAAATTAGTTGTTTCACCCAGAAATAGAAGTTGTGGAAAAAGAAATAAACACACATCCGATCCTACATATGCAAATGATGCTCTAAGTGAGATTTAGCACGTGGCTCCTTCAGGAGCCCTCCATGGCATTCTGTGAGGACGCAAATCAGCTGGCATGGGGAGGTTTAACTTGCCAGCACAGTTATTTTTCATTCCAGTGATCGGGGAAGCATGGGAGAACCACCAAACTTGCCCTTGAGCAGGGAGCAGAAGAGCCCAGAGGGCCCTGAGGACTCCATCGGGCAGAGGCTCTGATGGGACGTGCTTCTCCACCCCTGCAACCAGGGCCCCTGCTCACAGACACAGTCGGGGCCTCTGGACAGTGTGCAGAGCCTTGGGGAGGGGGAAACAGAGTCGTCATCTGCATCTCAGCTGGTTTACAGAGCGCTTCCTCAGGGGAAGAAGTGCTGCTCTGTTGGCATCCCTTGGAGATCAAGGAGGGCTGATGGAAATGAGCTGGCCTAAGGCAGCCTAATTTACATGCCTGTTTTATAATGTTTGCAAGTATTGATGTTGAAGGGGGAAAAAACAAAAAACCCTAACCAGCGCAGACTCTCAGCTGGGGCAATGCACAGCTTTAGCCCATCTTTAGCCAGTAACGATGTGCCTGGGCTGAGGGGCTGTTCTTCCTCCCTTGAAAGGGCAGCCTGAGCAGGAGGTTGGAGGAGCCCAGGGCAAAGGAGGTTCAGCTTTTTCCTTCCTCAAAGAAAGGATGTTTCTGTCCCATTTTCCTCTCAGCATGTGGGAGGGATGCTCTGAGGCTCTTATAAGTCATTGATCCCTTTCTAAACGAGCCAGAGCACTGCAGCGTGACCCGCAGAGCGGCAACCACAACTCAGGAAATTCAAATCAGCTTTATTCTCTTCTGAGATATCTGCTAAAACAGAAGCAAAACACTGAGAATCAGCGCAGAGCTGGGTACTGACAGGGATTGTTTGACAGTGCTGCCAGGGAAATCTGAATGGCCTACAGGGAAGCCTGGCTGAACAGAAAACAGCCAGCGTTGCCACAGCGTTAATTGCCGACATCCTGGGATGACATCTTAGTTGGGATCCATTCTCGGCAACTTCGAACAGAAAGTACAGCTGCTGCTGCCAGGGCTGGGTTTAGGCCTCAACCAATTCCCACAAGAGACAATGCAGCCTCAAAACAAGCGCTGCCCGCTTCCCAGGCAGGCAACGTGCTTGCCTGCTCCCGGGAAAGTTGTCTGTTTTCTCTGCCTGCTTCCTCCCTCCCCTCCACCTATCTTCTGCTGCTGCCTTTCAGCTCTCACACACCCTCTACCACCGCCAAGAAAATGCCAAGCTAATGACACTTTATCCTTTCCCCACTAATTAGAGCAGGAGACACACGATGTGGCTGAACCCAGCCCGGCACAGCCTTGCTCCCCGTGCTCAGCAAAGGCTCTTTGCGGGACTCAGCACCGCAGCAGCAGGTTTTGCCCTGTGAATCCTCAGGGGCTGCGGCAGCAGAGCAGGAAGAAGGTACAGACACACCTGTGCATACGCAGTACTGCAAGGGCAAGAGAGAACAGAAACAGGAATGTCTTCAATGTGAGGAAGTCCGGAAAGACCACAGACATAGCAGCTTTCAGTGGTAGGACACACTGGTGAGGCAGAGGTACTCTTTATTTGCCTTAACTTGCCTTGGCTGACTCAGATTCCAGTAAGCTGAGCTACTTCTCATTTACAGTAAATTGAAGAAAACCCTGTTATCATTAGGAATCACCAGTGTGCAGAGAACAGACAAACACCCTTCAGGAGGGGAGAGGGCAAAATTTTGAAGAGCCTAAAAACTTTACAGGACTTACAGTTGTATTAGCTCCCACACTGTGTGACATTTGTGGAACATTTTTTTGTGTGTGTGTCTCAGACTGGGGTTATTTTAGATGAACAAATCCTTAAAAACAGTAAAAGTAGAATTTGGTTTTGTTCTTAAGCTTTCAAAATAAAAGATGCTGTGAGGCAACTGAGGGTAATCAGATGCAGACATGCAGACCATACGCAAATGCAATAGCTTGTACAAAACGTGCAAATATGCACGTGTCCTACCAGGCTAAGCCATAAGTTCTCTGTTAAAGGCAAATACTCAGTGATTCACTGAAACAAGGTCAGCACCATACTGGATTTGCCTGGGACCCACGTACTCCAGTACCATAACTCTGCTGAAGGGATGCAGAACTGTCTCCCAAATGCACAGATCAGCAGTAGCCCATGGGATGGTAACCCCTCCATAGAGGTCCTATTCTGATCTTTAAAATTCAGAAATTAACTTGAACTCTGAAGAAGAAGGTTTAATATATCTTCCTGCATGGATTATAACTGCATGAGATACTTTTGGCTTCCCATTATTTCTCAGACCACACTAACTACTTGGCCTCAAGTGACATCCTACAGGAATGAGCTACACTAAACTCACAATATTACTTAGTTGGTTTTGAGTTTTCTGCATGTGATATCTCCTTATGCTTGCATATAAAACAAAGGAGGAATTTCCTGATCTATCATCTCAAAATTGTACTGTTCTATGTTCTTTTATCTTCTTCTATTTTCCTCCTTTCTAAAACATGCAGTCCAAATCTTACCAATTTGTCTCATATATGAGATTCTGTTTTCCCAGTCTCCCTTCTCTAAATTTCTTCCTAGAGTTGCCATCCACCTGGGGCTGGACATGCACACGCCTGAGTCACCTCTGAGAGGGCAAAGGGGAGTCTCTAAGACTTTTCCAGGATTATTGCAAACATTGAGAAGATCACAGCACCTTTACAGAAAATAATAGAACTGTTTTATACTGTTAAACCAATTCTCCCTGGCTACTACAAAAGATATGACATTTTATTAACTAAAGACATACTTGCAGGTGTGGATCAATCTCAAATATTGTCTCTCCTCTTCGCATATCCGTTATCAACCAGGGGCCTCCAGCTCTACAAAGATAGAAGGAAAGGTAATGAACCAAACAAGCCCTTTAGCTAGTACTCTCCAACAGAGTCCTCAGAGCGGACCTGTACTGGAAGGAAGCACAAGACAGAGTTTAAAACAAGCCTAGAAGCCCCTCTATGTTGTGTATACATCCCATAGTATACATTTGTCCTTTACATTTCCCAAATACATAATGAAAGCCCTCCATGACCTAGCTGTTATCTGCCTAGCGTCTGGCACCACCAAGTCTTGCAAAGCAGTCAGGATTGACACAGGCTATCCCCTGGGTGGACCCACGTACTCATACAAGACTGAACTGGGTTTTAATCTTACAGGTAACTGAATTGGAACTGAGAAGTCCAGTGTGGCCTAGGTCTAAGAAAGATGGGCAAGGCATGGGATCTAGATTTATACCTCTATTACACATCTAAAGATGCAGCAGGGTCCCAACGGGACTACACTTTTTGCCGAGATCGGCAGTCATGTTCAGCACCATAAAAAGCTTATTGCTCTGATAAATATCCTCATAATAGACATTTTGCCCAGTTGGTACTTAATGGTTGAGTACTCAGATGGTTCAGGGAAATCTTTGTTTTCACTGGCAATAAAAGTCAGAAGGGTCAAGATGTTTCTCAACAAAGGTGATAGAAAACAGATTACTGTGAAGATGAACTACTCAGAGACTTGACTTTGGGTCACAGTGCAGACAGACTACAGAAGTCAGCCTTAGATGGCGCTTTTCATTTGAAGTAAAAACTGAAGTCTTTTGGAATTGCCATAAAAATTTTCATTTTTTTCATGAGATACTTTGTTACTGCAGTCAAAAGCCCCCTCCTCTGGCCTTGTCTGTGTTATAGTCTCCTATAGCACTTGGAGTGGGAGCAATAAAAGTTAATATTTCATAGCTTTTCAGATGCATTGATAGCCACTCTTTTTTCACATCACTTTGGAAGCTGTTAATTATTAACTGCAGAGGTGCCACCTGCGTCAGTCCCTCACTGGGATGCAAGAGACTTTTACCCTGACTCCACATCAGCAGCTTCGTAGTTTGCAGCTTTGCCTTTGAATCATGCACATTTGGGTTTCATTTTATCCTTGGAAAGGTGCTTGTACCACAGCGCAAAAGCCAAAAACCAATATGAGAGCAGACTGAAGAGAGGGGTGCTATATCTGTATTGACTTAGAGGAGCCAAGGGAGCTGCAGGCAGTGTTTATTGTCTTGGGGTCCCAGAAACAAAGCTTGCAGCTGGACAAATTCACTCTACTCTAGGGCATTAGCGTGAATTATCTGCACTTATGCCCAAAAGGAAAAAGATCAAGTTTAAGAAATCCAGCAGCAAAGGCTGGACTCTTCCAAATAATCAATCAATCAAAGGCCATTGTGATATTAGGGAGTGTACTATTGTGCCCAGGAACACATATTCAGAACCATTTTATTTGGGGAAAAAAAAAAAAAAAACAAAAACCAACAAGCTTTTGAGCTACAATCACACGGCAATAACTTCCACTAAATATAAGAGAAAAATATTTTAACAAAACACATGCAAGCCAAAAAGTTTAGCTGCAACCTGGCAGCAAATAAAGCATCAACGTATCATTTAACATTTAAAACCCATCTCCTCCTTAACCCAACGACATCTTTGTTTTGCCATGGGAGAAATAACAATGAACTTTACTTGCATGAACACTCCCTCCTACTGCAAGAGTAGAGCCAGTTTGAGAGTGACTTTCTCACTTTCAGATAGTACCCAAGCTTTGCTAGGCACTGTAAGTCGGACCCTCTCCTTCCTTTCTCTTGAACTACACAGAGAGGTCACCAGTAACAGTTATCCCAGCTCTCTCAGGAAGAACCAATGAGAAAATGCTGCAGGCGTTAAGAGAAAGGAAATTAAGCTTTCAAGACCTCATTCTGTTTCACCCTGAACATGTGGACTTCCACATGCATTTATTTGCCATCTAAGTGTCTGTGCGTGAGAACAGATTTGCAATGAATTCCCATCTCTTGCTACAGCACAGGATTAAATAAGTTCCATCAACAAGTTAAAGACTATTAACAAACAACTGAATTGTTCTCTACGGGAATGCTCCCCTATATGGGGCTATATGAGCACTTACACTGGGACAGTCCGAAGCAGTTCCAAGATCCCTTGCCCGTTCCACTGTTGAGCCGCATGCAGTTCCTCAGTGCAAACTCCAACAATCTGGAGTAAATGAAAACAGAGATACTAAACTGGATGGGAACTGTGCAAGAACTGTAGAGAAAATGTGCCACGTGGTGCTGGATCAAACAGTGCAGATAGAGAGAAGCACCATTTCTTTAAACTAACTAGATGAGCGGGGACAAACAGAGCCTGAGACAACAGAGGGATTCTGCAATTCCTTATGCCCTCTCTCTGCACTTACCACATGAAGTGCCCTGGTCATGTAACATTTAATCTTGCATGGCATGTGTGAACTTAACTATGAACAGGGCCTGGTGACAAATCAGGGTTTACTGAAGATCCACTAGTCTGTTCTCACTCTTCAATCTAGTCCACACAAGACAGGACAGGTTAGGGTCTGAGCACATGCAAAACACTGCTCTGTCAGCCAACTGTTAGGGGCAAATGCAATACTGCACCAGGAATTTCAAACAGGCAGGGGACCTGCTGCCACAAAGGAATGCTTTGGTGCTCATAAATCCTTGACCAGCTCCGTTTGCTGACTAGTTACATATTACCCGGCACCATAAAGTAAAGCTGCTTACACATCGCATAATCCACTCCTCACTGCAGGCAATTGCAGACTTCTGCCTTCCTGTATAAGGCAGGATGTGTTTGCTTTTCAGGATGGGAGCTGCCACACTGAGCAATGCCAGATGTCCCTCTCACAGCAGCTGAGATCAGCCGCTTCAAATGAAGGGGTGAAACACCCTTCAGCTGACAGAGGAAGGCAGTTTCTTCCTGATCCATCAACCACTGGCTTGTGCCTTTCAGCACAATGATTCGCTCTTTGGGATGAAAAATTCTTTTAGCCATGGGTTTCTGTTTTCTTCCTCAATACTCTAAGACTCTTCCAATGACACTGGATTTTTGGTCAAAATCTGTTCAACTGATGTTTTATCAGAAAAGAAGAAAACTGAAAACTAAGTTCTGAAGAGCAGCAGGCAGAAATGCATGATGTGCCTTTGCTGCAAACGCGTATCTGCACTGATAGAGATCTCTGTCAAAAACCATCAACATCAGCATGTACCCAGTTCTGCACACCCTACCTCCCCTGCCCCTTGCAGAGCTCGCTTTCTCAGGACCCAGCCCTTGGAGATGCACTTCCTCCCCACCCATCTCCCAGGCTTCCTCCATGAACAGCCTGAATCACCCTCACTTCAGGACACCCTTCCCTGGGCCTTCACTCACTAATTACATACAAACAGCAAGACTCTAAACAGGAAATTATTTTGTGTTCATTCTTTTCTTTTTGCAATCATTTATCCTCATGGGTCAAAATAAATCCATAACAACAAGCATAAAACAAAGGGGAAAAACAAGTCAACTGTATGTATTGTGGAAGATTAGAGGCCAAGAGGCTCAGGATCCAACAAATTCACTGTCCTTTGATCCAGGACAGCCAGGCACTAAAGAAGAGATGCAGACTAACGCAGCACTAACTGGGGAGTCAGCCAGGAATCACCCTCTTAGCTTGGCTCTCTATCTCTGCTTCCAGGTCCCACAACTCACCTTTCACTGATTAATCCCACACCCATCCCTTTCTTGTTGATAAAACACAGACTTTCAGAAACCTCAGAAAATTCAGGAAAGCCTTTGCCCTTGCACAACAGGTGCCTTCTGCAGGTCTGTGGTAATGGAGCTTCCCCTTACATGTTGCAACTATAGCCAAGGACAAATGGGAGAAACTTGAAGTTAAATTGTAAAATACAGACACTTATTTTCCCACGGGAGGGAAGCTTTTCCACAGAGCAGGGAGAAATCAACAGTTGGTATAAACTATGCCAGCTCTTCCACTAAGGTTAATAACTCCATATGCAGTTTAAAAATGTCCAAAGCAGCCCATATCTAAGACACATCACCGAGAAGGACAACTGTTTGGCCAAGGAAGCTCCCCTCACTGAACAGTAGGGTTAAATCGCAAGGGATTTTTTAAATACTTCTTTTGCAAAGCAAACCTGAACCTTTCTTAAACTGTAGATCAATACAGGAAAACTCACTTAGCCTCTAAAGAATCTTTGTGTCAATGCTGCAAGCTACGTTTCTGCCATTAAATAATGCTAAAGCAACTCAGTCCTGCTCCAAACACCTCTTCTCCTGGAACTCAAACCAGTGGATCACTTACTGATACTGCCATAGAATGAATTAGAATTTAGCTCTACATTACCTTTTAAAAGTGTTTCTCAGCTTTTTTCCCTGTGTTCATGTTTGAAATTTCAGAGCAGTAATGTAATATTCAACTCCAGGTCTGTTTCACGGTGTAAACCTTTTCTCTATCAGATAGACCTCTATCTGGAGAACTGAGTGTGCCATTGCTCAATCCTGGTAAAATGCTTACTGAATACCTCCAGAGTAACAACTCAAAGATGAGATCCACAGAAATCAAATAAGGAAGAAAGATGGAAGACAGGATAATAAGCATCTGACTTATCAAAGCTAAATGAAATGTAATGTTAGCCACATTCCACTCTCAGGAGGCGACAGTCAGAGCCACCATTGCTGGCTCATACCTGTAGGAAAGTAACAACCCCAAAAGGAGTCTGAACCGGCTGCATCTGAGGGTCTTCTGTCAGTAACATATGCTGGATTCTAGATTCACTGTTGTCCAAAGGGCTGTGCCACGATACATGGTCACCGCTGCAGAAGGTGTTTTCTGCAAGGAGGAGAAACAAAAGATATTTAGTCTGTAAAGTCTGCTAGAATATTCCTGTTAGCATCTGCTCCTGACCGCTGTCAGGCAGGGACCTCTGGTCTGGACCAGGACGATCACTGGTGGCTATTCACAGTGACTGCCTCCAGCCAGCTCTGCTGGCTCTGAGTCAGCTGAAGTGCCTGAAGCAGGAAAGGGGTCTCATTGAGCCATCCAAATTCAAGCACCGACTTTAAAATTGCCCTCTCTTGAGTCCTGTGGCAAAAAATGGTGTCCTGCTTTGATATTAATCCCAACACATACAACAAATAAAATTAGCTTCTCTCTCATTTACTATTAGTCTCATTTTGTGAGAGGGCGCAGAGTCAGCAGACCATACCGGATGCCTATGAGATGGCGATTCATACTTAATTTGCAGCTCTGATTTGCCACAGATAAAAGATTCTGAAATGTGAATTAAACACAAATCATACTCTGCTATATCTAATAAAAATCCGCAGTCTGCTGCCCAACTTGTGATGGTCTAAGTCAAAGCCACTTTCTCTCCCAGTTGTCTGGTGGCTCTGGTGCAGAATTATAATTAATACGTTCCTTCTTTCCCAAACAATGAGAAAACAGTAGGCTATAAATTTCACTCTGTCAGAACAGACTGCATCAAAACAAAGAGCCAGAAATTATCCTTCCCTCTTCACGACTGTAAGCGTTCCTTTCTTTTCCTCCTCTCCTACTTAGAAAGACAAAACCCCCAGATAATCCCATGTTCCACAGCCGGTACATGCCAGAAGGCACACCAGAACCCATCTGTATGTTGCTGCCCCATCACAGGAAAGGCTATTGCTTGCTTTCTGAGCGAGCCAGAACTAAAACAACCAACCATGACCATTTTCACACCAATTAAAGCATGCTCCAATTGCACACAGTTCCTAGAGCATGTGCGCAATAATGCTGCCTAGCCGACTACCTCGTCCGCGGGTCTTGTGCTTGTCCCACTCCAGGTAGAGCTTTTATAGCACATAGAAATAAACAGCCTGGAAGCCATAATCTGCCCTCTGACATAGGTGCAGTGCCCCAGGGATGAAATGAGTACTGCCTGCCTGCTTCCAACATCAGTGGCAAGCACAGTGCCTGTCTCCCTGACCAAGCTTATTCATGAAGCCAGCCTGGGCTGCTGTCCTCACAGTGGTCTCTCCCAAGGCCACTCTTACAGGAGAGTGGGAAGGGAGGCCTTGCCCACTGGAGGAGGACTAGGACTTCCACTGCAGACTGGAAAATGTTAGAGAGGCCGACTGTCGAGACTGGAGCATCTCATATGACACAGAGCAGGATCCAACTCAGAGGAGTGTTCTCCTCTGCCCACAGCTACGAGCAGACGTGGTCCTGGATCTTTACTTGACCTTCCCACATCACCGTCCAAATACATGTCAATAGGATATCTCTTAAATAAGTATCTGTACACCTTATCTGAGAATCCTTGAACATGGCAGCTTCTGCAGTGCCAGAGAGAAACAGCATTTGCCAGTAATTGCAGCTTTGTCCCCAGTCACATTAAACAACAGACACTGAGGAACCAGGTGCGAGGTGCACGCCACTCGCTGCGCATCAGCACCACCACGACGGTGTGCACGTACTCTTGGCCAGCAGCAAGTGCAGGATGCTTCGAGGGAGCCATCAGTGGCAGGCAGGTACACTAATGAGAGTTATCTCGCAGTTGCTGTAGTTAAAAATACTCGCAGTCATCCCACTGATGAGCTAACTCAGGCTCACCCATTCATGGGTTTAATGCAGGGCGGCCTGGGCAACTCGTAGTTTCTCCACCAGGTGTCCCCATTGGTGTGTATTTGAACATTTATTATACATGTTTTTTCAGATTTATTTCTTGGACAGCTCATTTGATTAAGAATTAAAATAAACTCCAAACACCATAAGAAACCTGGCCCGAAAAATGCAGCATGTAACAGAAGTGTTGTGATAAGTAAGGGAATGTTTTCCTTAGTTAAAATTAGGAAAGAAAGAAAACATAGTGAATGCAAGCTGCTTGAAAGAAAGAGGTTATCGTTATGTACACTAAATTACACGCTTTCAGCTCTGAACTGAAAGGAGTGGTTCAGATACTACTTTACCTTTAGAGTTGGGGAAATATAAGCAGACAGAAATTAAAAACTTTTTTTTTTAGTATCAAAATTGGATTAAAGAAACGGCACTTAGAATGTTGCAAAGGATCTTGTGATATTTTCCAGGTTAGCTAAAATGTGGCTGATTAATTTTTTCTTTAAATGATAAAAGCCTCTCAGTCACAGTTTTCAGGAATGAAACAAAGCCACAAAGAGCTTATTCTTGGGCCCTGTCTTTATACCACAACATTTTGCCCATCAAATGCTCACACAATTCTATGCTGATCGATCGCTGTGTTTCACTGCTGGTGCTGCTTCTCCTGGGAAAGCCCAGCCCGTTTAGAGCAGGTTTTCAAATGCAAATGTCTCTGCTGGAAACCCACCTGTTTATGTCCATGTGAACACTGAACACTTAGAAAATCTCCCTCTCCCTTGCATGCACACAAACACCACAAAATTCACACTGACTACTCAATTAAATCAGTAAAAAATTTTCTGCAAATAACATGAAGCTGAATTAAAACCTGTAAGAGTGCGAGAAATTCAGAATTACAGCCTGAATCTCAGCTCTTCACTTGCTGCATTGTAACCCATATGCAATGTAAGATCAGCTCTTGCACAGAGACCACTGCAGCACTGAGGACAGCTTGAATTGCAGGACTTGTAGCCACAGAAACGAAGAAATTACAGAAACAAAGGCCTAGATAATCACTTTCTCTTGCCTCGTGCTGGAAACAGGGATGAGCGTCCTCCCTTCCCACCTTTCACATTCATGTTTTCAAAACAAGACAATCAAAATCTTTCTAAGCATTTAAGTTTTGAACAATGTTTTAGCCAGAAAATCCTAAAGTTTTTGTAAAGTATTCCTCAAAAGTAAATTTATAACTAAATTTGGGGCTTTCACAAATGTTGAATTGGAACATAAAACACCCAGGTAAATCCTCAAAGTCATTACAGCACAGATGGATGTGAAGTCTCCTATAGTTTTTGCACCTTTCTGACATTTGCAGTGCTGTCAATAACACGCTTTGTACAACCTGCCTTTCATGCACAAACATGTACATGTGCTAGTATGTACGTACATGCATACATGTGCCTACACGTACATACACATTTCCATAAAACCAAGAGATGAGTAGGCACAGGACACATGCACTCATCTCAGGTACACGATGAGCACAAACTATTTGCAAGGAGCAACACACTTGAGTCAGACGTGCCTAAAGACAGCTCCTGTTGTTCCCAAAAATGCATCCCCCCTGTCTCCCATACCATGCGGACTAACCGGAGAAGCAGCCTGCCATCTCCAAACTAATTTCTGAGATCCCTGTTTTGTACGGCTATGAACTAAGGATGGGACTAGGACCTTCAGTGATAACAATGCCAATATGGGTATCTCAACAACATTGATGGTTTTCTAGCCATACCTCTCAGTACACATTTTGATGCCTACTGCAGATATCAAATGAGACACCTACACTCACAACTGGAAGCTACTTATAAACTAAACACTTGAAAATACAAACATGAAAATAGGTATTAATAGACATGTAAAAGAAACATCGTATGTAAAAATAAAAGATTACCGGAAGAAGTTTATGTCCACAGAGCACTGACCCAGTCTGACAGGACTCACCACTACAAGCATCCCAAAACAATTTCTAGTTTAAGGCCAAAACATGACTCCTCTTTCAGATAAGGACAGAACATTCCTTTGCAAATTATCTCAGTTTAGTAAACCTGAAAGTTTACAGCCTCGGCAGCAAAGCTGATTCTGCAAGGATCCCATCACAACACTGATGCTGTCCCAGGCCCTTGTAGATTCAGAACAGCCTCTGCTTTATCCACATCCATTTACAGCAACCATCAATCCAACACTTTTTACTCTTAACAAGCTCTGCTATGACAACCCTTTTGACCTGCTGTAATGCTGTGCAGATTAGCATACTGTGGCAACATTTCTTACTGGTTTTGAGGAGGGATTGAAGCACAACAGGGTTTACAAAAGTCCTTTTGCACTGTATTTCTCAATGAGAAAAAATACATTTGTGTCCAGAATCCAGGAAAAGGTGAGATGGCTTTCAGCAGTAGTTGTGAAAAATCATGGGCTACTACTGAAGAAGCACCTTCTTTACCATTTGAAGAGGGCAACGTTAAATCTGCCAGGACTCAGGTATCATTTGCTGCTGCAAAGACTTCTGCCTCTTTGAACTTTGGTGTTACCCAACTCCACAGCAAAGCCAACAAGAGATGTGATGTCCAGGGAAACAATTTTATATAATGGGAGGAGTCTGACATATTCTTCTAATAAATAGCAAACCTCAAACTGGTGGCCAGTTGATGTGTTCCCATGCTCAGGAGGAAGCTTAGAGAAGACTTCTATGAACAGGGGATCTAAGCACGCTGTTTCCTCTGTGGGTTTGCACGTTGTGGATGGATTCATCATCGCCTAAGGAGGAAGGAGCTCTTACTAAAGCTTTTACTGCAGCTATGGCACACAGGAGGGCCCTATCTAGATTCACTTGTGTCTAAGGTCAAGTGCAACACATCTCCACACTTCTCCACTGTAGAAGGCACAGTTAGCATTTTTACTCACCCGCTCATTTTTACAATCTTTTAAGAACCAAGTCTCTCCAAGAGTCCTACCACTCTGTTAAGTCTGTTTGACATTGGCCAACAGGTCCAAACACCACTGGGGTAGCACAGTCAGTCTTCTAGGCAGGAGACCAGCACGACTGCATAATCTTTGTTTCCTTAAGTGAGCACAGCAAAACCAATAGTCACCAGAAAGAGTTACCAGGACCTCACCAGGGAATTGTCAAATGTGTAGGACAGATGGCAAAGCACAGAAATGATCTAGCCATCAACAGGAATTAAATAGCAAAGGAACTG